GCGGAGCGGGAGCGCCAACGCCAGGCCTACCAGCACGACCTGGAGCGGCTGCGCGAGGCCCAGCGCGCCGTGGAACGGGAGCGCGAGCGCCTGGAGCAGCTACGCCGGCTCAAGAAGCAGAACACGGCGCCCGGGGCCCTGCCGCCCGAGGCGCTGGCAGAGGTGAGCATGCGCCCAGGGTGCACGGGTGAGGGCGTGCATGCCAGGCCATGACAATGTTGCGAGTGAATGTGTGTGGCCACGTGTGCCTATAAGAGTGAGTGTGCTAGGACCAGCAGTTAGCGAAATGGCTATGACTCTGAAGTCCTGGACCCGGTGGCTTAAACTCATGCCGGGCGCATGTGCGTGCGTGCCCAAGATCCTAAGAGGAGAATGGAGAAGGGATTAAGGTGTGGCCATTCCCCCTGGGGGGTGATTTCTCGCTGTCTCTCTGGCGAGGGCACATGCCCTATAGCAAAAACCTCCCCCGCCCAAAAAAAAAAAGTGAATGTGCCAGGGCTGGCTCCAGAGCCTAGCCATTCAGGGAGCCTGATCTCAAATGGCCACCTCTGCAGTTCAAGTCCCAGCCGGACCCCGCAATGTGAAAAACACGCCAGGCACATGCATGCATGCTCACAATTCCAGCGAGGTGGAGAAACGGAGGAGGAGAGGTTGAGGCATGACCATGCTTCATGGGGAGGGAGGTACTTTCTTCTGCTCCTTCCGCGCACACGCATGCGTCTAGCAATTAAGATGAACCGAATGGGGGCCAGCTGGTGGCGTGGTGGATTAAGCGCCTGGCTCCCACCTGGCCAGCTGTGCCTTTCAAGCCCTGGACCTGGTGGGTGGAAAATCATACCAGGCACGAGTGAGCACTTGCCCCAGATCCCTAGAGAAGAGCGGAGAAGGGATTTCAGCCTGGCCTCCTTTAGAGCGTGGTGTTTACACCCCAGCTCGCACAACTCACACCCCTACGTCACAGAGCTCTCGGTAAAGTTGGAAACAACCTTAAGAGAAAGTGGGTCGCGTGAACGGGTGTGACTGCACACGTATATCACTGTCTTCATGTAAGGGAGCGTGTGTGCGACACTGTCTCCGTGAGGTTGCACCTGGAAGGGGAGTGTCGGGGACAGGCGACGCCTGGTCTCCCTGAGGCTGGGCGCGGCTCTGCTGGTCCAGAACGGCCCTCCCAGCCGGAAGCTGGGCCGAGATGCTGACGTAGGAGGGCCCCTCAGGCGTTGCCGGAGTCTCCCTGCACCAACCTAGAGCCTGGCTGGGGTGGGAGGGGCTGGAGGCCCCCTGGGGCAAGTCCAGGGAGAGGGTCCCCCAGAGCGCTGCCCGCAGGCACCACAGTGGGGTGTCTTCTGTTGCTCTTTCAGGCCCTGCCCCCAGGCCACCCTCCCAGCTTCAATGGCGAAGGGCTGGAGGGCGCGGCCCTGGCCAAAGCACCGGGCGTCCGCGTGAGCGTCCTGCTATCTGGTGGGCCAGAGTACGGGGAGCGGCCCGAGGTGGCGCGCTGGGACAGCGCCCCCGCGGAGAGCCGGCCCGCCAAGAGCGAGGTCCCCATCCAGCTGCTCAGCGCCACCAACCAGATCCAGAGGCAGGGGGGGGCGGC